AGATGCCATAGTGCACCATTCACTTTGGTAAATCTCCCCTCCTGAAATCGGGCAAGGAGAAACTGTATTTGTTCATCTCCCAGTCTTTGGATGTGGTTGCCCCAGGGAAGAGTGATTTTGAGCAAGGCAACTCTAGGCTAAGGGCGAGCTTGGGAGAGGCTCAGCTAGCGTTCCAGCCACCAACACTTCCGCAGCTAGGGGGCGCGAGTGCTCATCTTGCTCTGGCCAAGCCCTCCGGTTCCTCAGGCCCTTTGCCTTTCCTCCTGCCTCTGCCTGGCGTGTTCTTTTCCCGTTTCCAAGGGACTTATCCTCTCTTCCCTGATGTCCATGCTCAAGCACATCATTGCTGGAGAAGTCCTCTCTGACGGTGACTGTAGTATACAAACTAAACTCCATCCCTCTATACTCTCTCCTCTGTTACTCGGCTTTTTCTTCATAATGTTTAGCGATACCTGGCATTAGATAGTTCTAACATTAGCTGCTTCTTTTTGGTCTTCCTCTTACTAGAGTCCTCCATGAGTGCAGAGCTCTAATTTGCTTCTGTTTATATCCCCAGTGCCCCTAACAATGCCTGGTATGGGTAGGTACTCTATGAAAGTGAAAGTGTTAGTCACCCAGTCGTGTTGTGTCTGACTCTTTGCAACCCCTTGGACTGTACCTGCCAGGCTCCTCCATCCATGGAATTCTCCAGGCAAGAATACTGGAGTGGGTTGCCATACCCCCTTTCAGGGTATCTTCCTGACCCAGGGATGGAACTGGGGTCTTCCCGCATTGCAGGCAGATTCTTTACTACCTGAGCCATCAGGGAAGCCCCATAGAAACTTGTTAAATGCACAAGTGAAAATGTCTTGAATTTATAGTAGTCAACTCATAGAAGACAGTGGTTTAGTGGAAGGATCTTAGAGTGTAGAGTTAGACTGATCTTTTTAAAACAACTTTAATGAGATAAACTGACATATCATAAACTGCACATATTTATAATATAAACTCAATGTTTTGACATATGTATGCACACATGAAAACCATCACCATAATTCAGATAACATACATGTGCTTCATCCCCAGTTTTGTAATGCCTCTTGTAAATGGCAGGTGGTAATAGGGATAGATGAATTTAATGTTTTCATTAAGGACCTCCCACTATCCTTCTCGCTGCAGGGACATGCTCCAGTCCTTTTCTTTCTTTCCTTCTCTGAATATAATTGGCATATAACATTGTCAAATTTGAAGTATAAATCTGGGGTGTACAAGTGTTGGTTTGATACATTGATATATTGTACTTTTGTAATCCCTCTTTTCTGCCCTTTGCCATCCCAGGCAACAATTGATTTGCTTTCGGCTTTCAGAGTACTTTGCATTTTCTAGAATTTTATATAATTGGATAGGTCTACATATATATATATGTACATATATATATATAGGCTTGGCTTTTTTTCAGTCAGAATAATTATTTTGAGATTCATTCATGTTGTATGTATCAATAGTTCATTCATTTTTTTACTAAGTACTAGTCCATTTGTTTGCTCACCCTGGTGACTCAGAGGTTAAAGCGTCTGCCTGCAATGAGGGAGACTGGGTTCGATCCCTGGGTCGGGAAGATCCCCTGGAGAAGGAAATGGCAACCCACTCCAGTATTCTTGCCTGGAGAACCCCATGGACGGAGGAGCCTGGTGGGCTACAGTCCACGGGGTGGCAAAGAGTCAGACACAACTGAGTGACTTAACTAACTAACTAGTCCATTTGTCATTCAGCTTGGTTATTGGACTTGATGTGCTTACATTTTGGTGCTATTTTTAAAATACTGCTAGAATTATTTCTGTACAATTTAAAAAGTTTCTATTTGAGTATAGTTGGACTGTGTGAGTTCTACTCTACAGCCAAGTAAATCAGCTATATGTATACATATATCCCCCCTTTTTTGGATTTCCTTCCTATTTAGGTCACTACAGAGCAGTGAGTAGAGTTCCCTGAGCTATGCAGTAGTTTCTCATTCAGTCAGTTCAGTTCAGCTCAGTCGCTCAGTCGTGTCCAATTCTTTGTGACCCCAAGAATCGCAGCACGCCAGGCCTCCCTGTCCATCACCAACTCCCGGAGTTTACTCAAACTCATGCCCTTCAAGTCGGTGATGCCATCCAGCCATCTCATCCTCTGTCATCCCCTTCTCCTCCTGCCCCCAATCCCTCCCAGCATCAGGGTCTTTTCCAGTGAGTCAACTCTTCACATGAGGTGGCCAAAGTATTGGAGTTTCAGCTTCAGCATCAGTCCTTCCAATGAACACCCAGGACTGATCTCCTTTAGGATGGACTGGCTGGATCTCCTTGCAGTCCAAGGGACTCTCAAGAGTCTTCTCCAACACCACAGTTCAAAAGCATCAATTTTTCGGCACTCAGCTTTCCTCACAGTCCAACTCTCGCATCCATACATGACCACTGGAAAAACTATAGCCTTGACTAAACAGACCTTTGTTGGCAAAGTAATGGCTCTGCTTTTTAATATGCTGTCTAGGTTGGTCGTATCTTTTCTTCCAAGGAGTAAGNGATCCAACCAGTCCATCCTAAAGGAGATCAGACCTGGGTGGTGTTCATTGGAAGGACTAATGCTGAAGCTGAAACTCCAATACTTTGGCCACCTCATGCAAAGAGTTGACTCATTAGAAAAGACTTTGATGCTGGGAGGGATTAGGGGCAGGAGGAGAAGGGGATGACAGAGGATGAGATGGCTGGATGGCATCACCAACTTGATGGACATTAGTTTGAGTAAACTCTGGGAGTTGGTGATGGACAGGGAGGCCTGGTGTGCTGCAATTCATGGGGTAGCAAAGAGTCAGACACGACTGAGCAACTGAACTGAACTGAACTAAATGACTAATAATGTTAAGGATTTATTTTTCCCTCAACACGCTGCTTGCAGGAACTTCCCTGACCAGGGCTTGAACCCTAGCCATGGCAGTGAAAGCTGGAATCCTAACCACTAGGCCACCAGGGATCTCCCTAAGGACATTTTCATGTGCTTATTTTTCATGTATATATCTTCTTCTGTGAAATGTTTGTTCAAATCTTTTGCCTGTTTTTTGAGTTATTTTCTTATTACTGGGTTTTGGGAGTATATACATACACATACTCATACATACATATATATATATTTTTAAATTTTAATTAAAACATTTTTGAATGCAAGGCCTATGTAAAACATGTGATTTGCAAATATTTTCCCCTAGTCTGTGGTTTGTCTTTTCATTCTTGGAATAGTGCAGAAAGTCTTCGTATTGTTGAAGTCCAATTTATCAAATTTTTGCAATGGATCATGCTTTGAGTATTGTATCAAAGAAACTTTATCTAACCTAACGTCACAAAGGTTTTCTTCTATTTTTTTTTTGAAAAGAAGTTTTATAGTTTTAGATGTTATGTTTAGGACTATACTCCATTTTGAGTTAATTTTTATATGGTGTGAGATATGGATTAATGTTTATGTTTTTAGCATATGGGTGACCAATTTTTTCAGCATCACTTGTTTTTGGGTTTTGGTGTTGTTTTTTTTTTTCCTTTTTTTTTTTGGCTGCACAGCTCAGTTTGGGAATCTTAGTTCCCCGACCAGGGATTGAACTCATGTCCCCTGCGGAGGAAGTGTGGAACTCTAACCACTGGTGTGTGTGTGCTTGGCCACCCAGTCGTGTCTGACTCTTTGCAACCCCATGAACTGTAGTCCACCAGACTTCTCTGTCCATGGGATTCTCTAGGCAAGAATACTGGAGTGTGACTAGCCATTCCCTTCTCCAGGGGATCTTGCCAACCCAGGGATCAAACCCAAGTTTCCTGCTTTTCAGGCAGATTTTTTACCATCTGAACCACCATGGAAGTCCCTGGACTGCCAGGGAATTCCCTCAGCATCATTTGTTGAAAAGACTCTTCCCCATTAGATTGCCTTTATACCTTTTTGAAAATCAATTGTCACATACATATTGGTCTATTTTTGAACTCAATTCTGCTCTGTTGATCTACTTATCTATCTTGATACCAATCCTTATAATTAATTTTGTCTTAATTACTATAGATTTATAATAAGTCTTGAAGTCAGAGAGGGTAAAATCAGTTCCTTTTACCCCATTTTGGTTGGAAGTGGAGTCAGACTGATGAGTTTTAATACTAGTATGATTTCATACAAGTCAGTTAACAATTTTTATTACTCATTTACATCCTTGTTTATTGTTAGAGTTAATATTATAGTGCTTAGATTAAATTCTAATTATTATTAAGGGTCTGAACTAGAAAGATGGCCCTGGATCTAAAAGGTACTAGAATGTCAGGGCAGTGCTGGGATGAATGAATTTAATGTGCTCATCAAGGACCTCCCATTGTCTTTCTCAGTGCAGGGACATGCTCCTGTCCTTTCTTTTTCTTTCTGTCTCTCTCTTTCTTTTTTAACACATATAATTGATGTATAACACCGTCAAGTTTGAGACATAAGTTTGAAGTGTACAAGTGTTAGGTTGATACATTTACATATTGTATGATTACTGCAGTAGCATTATCTAACGCCTCTATCGCATCACATAAGTATTTCTTTTTTGTGTTGGGAACAGTTAAAATCTGGTCTTTAGCAACTTTGATGTTTATAAATATTATATCATTAACTATTAATATATTCACTATGTTGCATGTTAAATCCCCAAAATATATTTTTCTACTAGTTTTTAGTTTGTACCCATAAACAACATCTCCCTAGTCCCCCCAGCACTAGGCAACAGCAGAACTGATCACTTTGCATTGAAACAACAAAAGAATAACAAAGATGACAAAGAAGAAATTAAAACTGGTCAGAATTCCCAAGTTTAAAATAGTCGTTCCACTATGTCAATAATTTCTATACAGGTTTGTTAAATTTTTATTTAGAAAAAAATTTTAACAGAAAAGGAGAGCATTCTACACCCAGGTTACAGTAGCCTTTTGGCCCGCTTGGCATGGCTTACTTCCACTCCCTTCTTTTTTTCAGCCTTTGCGATACCTGTACCTGCCAGTCTCCAAGTGCCCCTAGTTACAGGTCAGCTCCACACAGAAGGGGAGGAGCTACTTCCCAGGGTCTGTGTCCAGCATTGCAGCCCCACATCCCAGCAACCAAAAGTGCTGCCCACCTGAAGACCAAGAAGGACCTTGCCCACTGTGTTGAGTGCCATGTGAGTGCTCAGTCCAACAGGATGGCTGGTGCACCGGTGAAATTTTTATCTGTGTTTGGATTCAGTCTTATCTGCCTTAAAATGGTGAGTTCACCATTCTGACCTACCTGCAACTATTTGGGGGGAAAAAAGATGCATTCAATATCTTTCTCTTTTTTTAAAGGCTTTGGGGGTGGAGAGAGAGAAATCAAAATACTTTGCGACCATACCAAGATTGTATATGTTTGTGTGTTTGAAATTTGATGCAATTTACTAGTGAAAGGAGACAAGAATATCATTATGTTTTAAGGACAAAGATTTCTAAAAAATCTGTCAGCAGTTACTGAATTAGTCACTAGGTAGATTCAGAAAGAAAAATGAAATAGTAATACGATCTGCCTCCAGCCTCTCAATTCTGTTTAGGATTGCTTTCTGGTAGATTTTAGTGTTGGGAAGTGGTTTGTGCAAATCGCTACTGTGTGTGGATTGGAAGATTGCTCACATTATGTATAAACATGTTGTTCTAAGTGTATTATGCTCTGATTTAGGTTTTATATTTCCTCAAATGGTGTTTTTCTTTATGGTTCTAACTTTCTAAACTTTTCTTTTCAGGTTGCTTCAACAAAAACAGGTAACATTCCCTGAAATGCAAGTTTACCCTACCCATATTTCATTTTCATTTCCACTGTTAATTCTTATACTACCCTAAAATAGAAAGGCTATACCAAGAAAAATATTCAACATTTTTTGAGTACTCACATTGTGAGTGTAACTGGTAAGACAAATATATCAATCAAACTTTAAAGATACATCCTCATAAGATATTCATCTTGAGTTGTATAGAGTCATGCAGTCATAGATTTTTCTCAGACATAGTTACCCATTAGTAAAATATTGCAATGATTATCATTCCAGTCAAAGAAACAAAATTATAGTGAAGAGCCTAATTTATGTAAGTTTTCTTATTTGTCTTCTAAGGAATTAGAGGAGAGAGCTAGAAACAGTTTTGATCAAAATTTCAAGATTCTCTACTTTAATAAAAAAGATTTTATACCTCTAATATTGCATCCATAAAATATAGACAATGATAACCCAGAGCTAGAAAAAGTCTTTCTTTTAGAAGATGTTATCACCATTTTTCTTGAATAAATGGCTGAAGGCAAGGATTATTTCTCTATAGGCTTCTCCTGGCTCATATATTCTAGAAATTCAAGTCCCTAGAATGGAAATTTATGTTCAGAGATTTAGATTATCTGAAGAAACCATAATATCAATTATATCAGAAATAAACTCTCTCAGCAATTCAGTACAAGTAAGAACAGTTTTTATTTATTATTATGTTCATTCCACAGAAAAGGAAATATAAATAAAGCAATTAAAATGTTCGATAGAGATTTATGACTGAGCCACAAAAATCTGTGCTTATAAAATAAGTTTTTAAAAATTATGATGTCATACTTTATTCTTACTTATTGTTAAGACACCTTCAGGGATGACTAGGAAGCTTTGAGAAGAACTATTTGGCCATATATACGAAGTAATTTTTAAAATAATAAGTGGCCTTAAATGGATGAAACCTAGCTCTGCTGTCTCTTAGAGGGTCCCAGAACACCCAAACATACTGAGCCCTCAAAATGGGCCCCTTTTCGATCCCACTACCCACACTATTTGAGAGAAGGAATGGGACAGACTGAGATACTGATGATGCTATCTATTGATTCATCCTGTCTTTTCAACAGATGCAAAGTGTTTTATTGACACTGCATAGGAGGTTTCATTTTGTGTGTGTGTATTTTGATTTTCTCTGGGCTCTTGGCATCAGCTACTTATCTGTGTCTGATCACTGGGGCCAGCTGGGATAATTTAGATCTCTGAGTTGGTAGAATGAACAGATGCTGAGACTCAAAGGGTTTCACTTTTGGTTGATTGAAAATCTAGGGAATAAATTTTTCTCTTTCATCAATGCAGTAAGTGGGCCAAATATAGAACTAAGGAAGAGTGAAGAACCACTGCTGATTTATGGAGACTTACATGTCCTACTCAATATCATATCTTTTAAGGGAAACATAGTACAGCGGTGTTGATCTTTTTTGGTTGCCACTACTGGTCAGATGCTGCTCTAGATGCCATCTGTAAACAGGCATTCTGTCTCTCCAGCCTATGCCTACCCCAGACCCTCCAGAATCCCACCTCCTCTGGTAGCAACCCCCACCCCCATGACAGTACCATGAGGCCTGGCTTTTCCAAACCCAAAATTTGCTAGCCCTGGTTCACACACACACACACACACACACACACACACACACTCACACTAACCCTTCCTGCCTTCCAGTGTGCCCTTACATTAACTATTTCACCTAATCTTTACAATCTTAAGATGCAGATATTTTATTTATCTTAAAATGCAGATATTTATTTCAAAGTAAACTCAAAGATGTAGGAATTATTAGTATTCCATATATTCAAGACAGAAAACTGAGACTAGAAGAGGTGAAATCACTTGTACATGTTGATGCATGCGTGGTCAGTCGCTTCAGTCATGTCCAACTCTTTGCAACCCTATGAACTGTAGCCTGCCAGGCTCCTCCATCCTTGGGATTCTCCAGGCAAGAATACTGGAGTGGGTTGCCATGCTTTCTCCAGTACACGTTCACAGACAGAAGCATATGGCAGAGCCAAGGCTCAAACATTCTGGAATCTAAATCCTTTTCTATTTTCTTGCCATGAAACTCTGTGTTTCATCCTGCTGATACTGGCTTTATGAGCTACTATGCTGGGCAACTGTGCCCCTCCCAGATTAATTCAATAGGACAAAGTTTGTGGAATCCTCAGGCTCCTTGACATGCCTGTGGGGAGATAGTCTGGGTCATGCCAGCCTTTTAGATGCCTTTCGAATGAACCACTCCATGAAGGCACTGTCTCAGCAATGTCTAGTTTGGTTGTCAGTTGTCCAGGAAATCAGTCCATTGCAATGAGCAGGACTGGCTAACAGGACATAAGATGAATATTGGGGTCAAAGGAAGAAGCAGAGGTTGAGAGATACCACAAGTCAGAGGAAAGAAGGCCAAAGACTAGGCAAGGACAAGCAACTGGGGTGCAGAAAAGGGATGAGTGTGTAGGAGGAATGAATGTGAGACCCCTGTGGGGGCTTTCTATCCTACAGGGGGAGCGGGGACATAGGCGCTTCCTGCAGAGTCAGTTTCTGCTGGCAAATGGCTAAGATGAACCCTTGAAACTTTTCCCCAGGATATATAAGCCGTCAGAGTTTTCTTTTGATGGTGAAGGAGACAGTCCTGGGTGATGTTCAAGGAATGTCTGGCCAGTGCACAGTGGACTCTTTGTCCATTCTTGCAGCATGGTTATTTCTGAGATGCTGCCAAAGCCAGCTCTCTTGGCCATGGGGACAGAAAGAGAAGGTTGTCTGTGTCATGCACAAGGCGATTTGGCAGGTGGGGGTCTGCTGGAGGGAGCTGAAACTGGCAAATCACACATTCACACTGTATTTACTCCTTCTCCTCTTTGCCTTAGAGTTTTGTTTTGCCCTTTAGTTTTGGATTTGGCATACAGTGATCTTACCCAGCAAAACCAGTGTTGTTGTTTAGTTGCTAAGTTGTGTTGGATTCTTTTGCACCCCCATGGGCAGTAGCCCGCCAGGCTCCTCTGTCCGTAGGATTTCCCAGGCATGAATACTGAAGTGAGTTGCCATTTCCTTCTCCAGGGGATTTTCCTGGATCAGGGATCGAACCTGCATCTCCTGCATTGGCAAGCAGATTCTTTACCAGTGAGACACCAGGGAAACCCACAATTGCAGTTAATTAAACATAAAACCCAGCAATTTTGGTTTGTCCTTTTCTTCCACTTGGACCTCCTACACCTAGAGCATTTTTGTGTCCGTGGAGTTTTGAAGAGTAGACAATCTGATTGCCATATTGTATCTTCTACCCCATTCCCAAAGTATAGGAATGCCTAGTGTAAACTCATGACATAAGAATTCATTGCCTCCTGGCAAACCATGGCCAGGTCCAGGTGATGAGGGACCACAGCAACTCATTCTTATTCTGGGACAGATATTTTGATAGAGAAGGAGAGAATAAAGTTTTAATTTTAAATATTTTATATAGAAGAATCTGAAAATTGTTACACTCTGATGATATTAAAACAGTACAATGGAGCAATTGTGAAACAACTCAATTCTCCCTTCTTTTCCATTAGATGAAATGCCTCTTGGGAAGTGTGCAAAGTGCATGAATGGAAATCACAGCTATGGCAGGGATGGGGGATGGAGGTGGACCATCACTGAAGGCAGTGGAGCACAGTTGTGGGGCAGGGAGGCAAGATTAGGGACAAAGCAGGCTGGGGATTCACAAGATGCCAAGTTGGAGTAGAATCCTCCAGAGTGAAGTCCCTCCCTTACTCTCTCCCTCCCCTCAGAGTTCTTTCTCAAAATTATTCCCCATTCTTACTCAACTGTTTTAAAAGTACAAAATGAGGCAACTGGAAAAAACCTCTTTGAAATTCCATTCCTGAATGGGAACTTTGAGCTTTCTGACTCTCTTCTGAAAAGTAGTAGCTTTGCCCTTTTTTTTTTTTTATCTTTCTTTTTTTTTTTTTTCTTGATCAGGAAAATAAGGGCACAGTTTATATCTGAAGGATGGCATGAGAGTGACAGTTTGAAGAGTAAAATGATGAAAGAAGTAATCCTTATAGGTACTCTACCTAATGTACATCTTCAAATTTTCTTTTAGTTCCCGAAATACCCACTATTGATCAGGCTTATTCAAAAATCAGCAACAGTATCACTGTAGAATGGGCTACAGTGCCAGGAGCCACCAGTTACCTCCTCACGGCCAAAGACGGGAACACTGTCATTGAGACCATGGTGGCCAATTCCCCAGGCACTGTGACTGGCCTGAAAGCTGCAACCTGGTACCAGATCACCATCAGGTCCATCAGTCCTGCGGGGAGAAGCCAGGCATCACCTCCAAAACAGGCAAAGACAGGTAGCTGGATGCTCATCCTCTACTGAGCAATTGCTTGTGACCTGAATCAATTGTACTGAGGCTGCAAATGTATGATGTAATTCTTTGTCTTGTGAGTGCTGATGATTCAGGGCCCAGAAGTGAAAGCCACCAAGTGACTTTTTTTTTTTTTTTTTGAAATTCAAATAACTGTGGAGGAGGTGATATTTAAATTCCAGATGCTTTGGAAAATAAAACCCATTTTGGGGCATTGTTAAAAGCATCCCTGCTTTAAAATCTCTGAAAAAAAGATTTCTGTTCTTAACCTCGGTTATCTATGAAGACCATGGGGTATGATGAACACGTAGGAGTAATTTTGCTGCTCTTTGACTTATTTGAAATAAAACCAGTTCGAGTTTGTCATCAGCATGACTTAAATTGGTTTGATGAAGTTATACCTTGGCATACTTCTAAAAGGTTGTGTGCACATTAAAATAGTAGAAATTATCATTTCTCTTATTAATTTATTTTATGATTAAGAGGTTTTATCTAATTTCTTACCAACTTCCAGTTGAAGGTATGCCTAATATTAGAATTTGTGTTCCCCATTCCTCTGCTGTGTGTATCACTTCAGTCGTGTCGGACTCTTTGTGACCCTGTGGACTGTAGCCTGCCAGGATCCTCTGTCCATGGGATTCTCCACACAAGAATACTGGAGTGGGTTGCCATATCCTCCTCCAGGAGGTCTTTCCAACCCAGGGACTGAACCTACATCTCTTGTGTCTCCTGCATTGGCAGGCAGGTTCTCTACCACTAGTGCCACCTGCCACTCTGAGTCATCTGCTGAGTCATCCGTAATTAATACACATTTAAATAACAATAATAACAACTCTGACATGAATCCTATTGCAAAGCAAATACTTTTTTCATAATATGGATAATCAAGCTCAAATTTCCTATTCCTAAATTTGAATTATCCTTGATCGCTCTTTTGTAATGCAAATGCACATGTTTTTGTCTTTGCAGTACTGGCGGCACCTATTCTACAAGTAAGCTCTCCAAGTTCAGACTCTATTCTTGTGCAGTGGGAAGCTGTATATATGGCCATTGGATTCTCTGTGTCCATTATGCAAGCTAATGGTTTGGGTAGAATATGGAAAGAGAATACCACCAACACCTCCTTGACATTCACCAGTTTAGCCGCAGGGACTCTCTACACCATAAAGGCCTATGCATGGAATGCCAATGGAACCCCTGGGGATGACTCCACCTGCAATCAGAGAACAAGTAAGGACTTCTCAGCTCAGGCCCAGTCATTCTCCTTTTTGGTTAATGAGAAGGGCTGTGCACCGCAGCCGCTGAGAGCAGCGATAAGCGATAAGCACAGAGCAGCTGGCAGCAGATATTTAAACTTATTATGAGCTTATTTATAGTGCCTTGGCAGTTCCTCCCAAGTAGTTTCAACGCTCTCTGCATGTGTAAAGAAATGCTGCTCAGAGTACATAGGGCACCGTAACCCCGTGTGTACCTCGCCCCACCGCCCCGTAGCTGATTCAGCATGCGTGTTCAGTATCACACAGAGGAAACAATTCTTGTTAGGTTTTCCAGTTACCTCTTGTCCCTTCCTAGGTTTAGACCAAGAGTATAGACGAAAAGAATTGGGCCAAACAAGGATTTATTCAGTAGACATTTAATGAGCGTGTCCAAATTTTGAGGTGGTATTTCCCTAGAGACATAGCAGCAAGCAAAATAAACTTCCTGTTATGATGAGAATTTTAAGCTTCCTGCTGTGGTGAGAATTGATATTCCAGACATATTTCCCAAAGCCCTCACCGTAGGCCTGAGGCCAACATGGGGCTTCCCACTACCTCTCCTCCAGCTGTCGGCCGAGAAGTTGGAGCACGGTGTGTGTTCTCACCATCTCTATCCCAGGGAGACCCAAACAGGGCCTCCTACTGCATGATAACTGGAAGCCCAAACTGAGCTGCGGCTATGAGCCCAAAGAATAAGAGGGAGAGAGGGGGAAGGGGGCAGATTTTTCCTTCTCTTGAGGCAGAGTGAGCCATCCTCTGACAATAAAGCCTGCTGTTGAGTCTCCAAGTCGTGTCTGACTCTTTTGCAACCTCATGAACTGTAGCCCATCCAATCTCCTCTGTCCATGGGAGTTCCCAGGCAAGAATACTGGAGTGAGTTGCCGTTTCCTCCTCTAGGAGATCTTCCCAACCCAGAGATTGAACCCTTGTTTCCTGCATTGACAGACGGATTCTTTATCACTGAGCCACCAGGAAAGTCCAGAATGAAAGCTAATAGATGCCAGACTCACCAATCAGATTAACTCTTTCATCTCTTGAGGATGTCCAAGGAAAAGGCAGAAAGAAAACAGAAATGTCCTCTCCAACAGTGCCTAAGTTTGGGGGGCAGTGAAAGTTGCCTTGCATATGAGCCAAGGTTGAAATGTAGGAGGAAGAGAAGGGTTTGCCTTTCATAATACTTTTCTAGGGAGAAATTATAACAAGGTGGCCATCAGGTGATTCACGATGGGCCTGGTGAATTAGGATGTCTGTGATAAACCAGTCTCCCTAGGACTCTTCCAGGGCATTCACTCATTCTTTCCTTCCACAGACATTTATTGAGGGCCTACTATATGCTGGGCATCATTAGCTGATGAGCATATAAAATCAAATAAGGCATGATTTCTACTCCCGAAGAATTGATTGTGTCCCAGGAGGGGCCAGTGTGTAAATCAATGGTTAGGTTTCTGGGTAACAGGTTCTTTGATGGAAGGATGCACAGGCACAGGGGGGCTTCCCTGGTTGGCTCAGATGGTAAAGAATCTGCCTGCAGTGCAGAAGACCTGGGTTCGACCCCTGGGTTGGGAAGATTCCCTGGAGAAGGGAATGACAACCCACTCCAGTATTCGTGCCTGGAAAATTCCATGGACAGAGGTGCTTGGTGGGCTATCGTCCATGGGGTCACAGAGAGTCGGACATGACTGACTAACGCTAACTATCTAACAGGCACAGGGTGGCTCAGGGGAGCATCTACATCAGGCTGGGGAACAGGGAGAGCATCTCCTGCAGATGACTGGTCTCTTAAAGTCTTCCTCTTCACTTGTTTCCCTATGTTTTCAAAAGTTTTAGAGACCTTAGACTTAGACTCTGTATTAGTTTGCTAGGACTGCCACAACAAAGTACCACAAACCAGGTAATACAGAAGTTTATTATCTCATGGCTCTGAAGGGCATAGGAGCCTGAAAGCAAGAAATTGGCAGGATTGGTTCCTTCTGAGAACTGTGAGGGAATGGTATGTCCAGGCCCTTCTCCTTGGCTTGTAGATGGTCGTCTTCGTGTTTACATGGCATTCTCCCTGTATGTGTATGTCTGTGTCCAAATTTTATCTTTTAAAAAAAAATATTTATTTATTTATTTATTTATTTTTGGTTGCTCTGGGTCTTTGTTGCTTCATGCAGGCTTTTCTTAGTTGTGGCAATTGGGGGCTACTGTTTGTTGCAGTGTGTGGGCTCTCTTTCTCATTGCACTGGCTTCTCTTATTGCGGAGCACGGGCTCTAGAGCGCACAGGTCTCAGTAGTTGTGGTACTCAGGCTTAGTTGCCCCACAGCATGTGGAGTCTTCCCAGTCCAGAGACCAAACCTGTTTCCCCTCAAATTGGCAGGTGGACTCTCAACCACTGGACCACCAGGGGCATCCCAAAATTTCTCTTATAAGGTTATCAGTCATATTGGGTTAGGATCAACCTAATGATCTCAACTGATTACATTTGCTAGGACCTTATTTCCAAATGAGATCTCATTCTGGAGTACTAGGGGTGAAGACTTTGATATATGTCTTTTTGGTGCTTCTCATGCCCCATGTGGGAAAATCAGATTGTCCTGAAATACTGCAGATGACCGCTACCAGCCTTGGGCCCAGCATTACCCCAGAGGAAATCTGCCTCTGCAGATGAGCTGACCATATAGCAGAAGAAGGGGCCTGTCAAGACGACCTACAGGAGAAAGATGGATCATGTCTGCCTTGCAGAGGATGAGTTGAGTCCCAGTTTCCTCATACAGAGCCTTTCCTGTTTAATCCCACATCCCCCACCCCACCATATGTGTCTGAAGGGTACTAGTCTCTGCACATAAGCTGTTCTCTAAGGTTTGTGGATGAGGTGGTTGGATGGCATCACCAACTCAATGGACATGAGTCTGAGTAAACTCTGGCAGTTGGTGATGGACAGGGAGGCCTGGCATGCTGCAGTCCATGGGGTCATAAAGAGTTGGGCATGACTGAGCAACTGAACTGAACTGAAGGTTTGTGAGGTGGGCCTTATTATAGCACAGATTCCAGAGAACTGAGGCCAACTTTTCTCTTTCCCAGCCCAGGAGAACACTCCTCAAGCTTTTTTAAGGGGACAACGCTGAGGAAAGGAAGGCCTACTTTTAAGCATAGAGGAAATTGTTTTGGAGACAATAAAAAACTGCCTTCCTGTGTGGCCATCACACTTGACACTTTCCTTCCTTCCCTTTGGTTTAGAATGAATGGAAGTCTGCTCTTCTTTTAACAACAGGGACCTAAAAGCTCTTACATGTCTTAGCATGTATCAAAAGTAAAGAAGAAATGCTGCTGAAGCTAATCTAACTTTATCAATCTATAATAGAATACTTTATCTACCTCTTAATGACATACCCACTTGCCTCTCCTAGCCCGTTGTATTTATAATTTCATTTAATTACTTCAATCACTTATCAGATTGTGTGTTCACTCATTCACATATTCAAAATAAGTTGATTGAGACTTCCCTGGTGGTCCAGTGGCTAAGACTCCATGTTCCCAAATGCAGGGGGGCTAGGTTCGATCCCTGGTCAGGGAATTAGATCCCACATGCCACATTTAAGACCTGGCATAGCCAAATAAATTAATTGTAAAAAAAACTCAAAATATGTTTATTCAGCACTTATATGTGCTAGGGACTGATATTAGATCAATTTTGCACATTAAAAAAATAAATAACAAGAAGATTAAATAACCTGGCAAAGTCATAGCTAGTTACGAGTTTGCATAGTTAATGGTGGATGTATTACCAGTTCTCCGGTACCATGAATCCCAATTTTATGCTTTGTACACTTGCAATTATCCTGTTAATGAAGTATTTCATCCTCCAAGCTCCACATATTGCTAGGCCAAATCTTACTTTGCTTCTTGAGTCTACTGCAAAATATCAATTGTTTCTCAAAAATGTAGGTCCAGGTACTCCTGCCAACATTCAAGTCTCTTTTGATAGTGGTGCTCTGAAGGCATCTGTTTCATGGGCACCGACAGAAGGAGCTTTCAACTATACCGTGATGGCTTTGAGTGACTCTTCCAGGCTGAGCTGCAGTACAGCTTTCAGTTCCTGCACCATCTACCCTCTCCAGTGTGGAACCAAGTACCTGATTTCAGTTTCAGCAAGTAATGATGCCGGATCTAGCAGATCAACTTCAGCAGTGACTTTAAAATCCGGTATGTAAACAGGAGGGAGATTACTGGGGGGCTGGCAAGCCCAAGTGACTGACCTTAGGGAAACAAATAATTACATGACAATGTTCCAGAATGCTCTAGAATGCTCTAGAACAAATGAAAGCAAAAGCCTACTCTAAATGAAAGCATAGAGTTGAACATTCTGATGAGTCTGAATAATGTTGATAGTGAAACCAGATCTCATGCATTGGAAAAAGCACTTTGAAAATTAGGAGGCCTGTTTGCTCTTCCAGATCTTTCACTAATCAGTCTATTTTCTTTTGCATTTGTAAAGTTGTAAATATTCTAAGATCCAGTTTGATCACAACTCTAGCTGTGCGGCCCCTTATTTTCATCATGTTTCACAGACCTAGGCCTGGTAGGAGCTATTCTTTAAGATAAACAGGGAATGTCTGTAGCTTGGAATATGTGTTTAGATATCCTCCCTCTTTCATTCTTATCAAAGAGATAAAGACATACATATGTGGAAGTCTACACTTCAGTTTAGAAATATTTGTGTGTTTTGAGAATGTAAACTAACATTTAGTGAACAGCTACTATGCAAAGCTGCAAAGAAAATCTCCTGTAGTACTCTCACACTCCTTTTTATTTATCATTTCCTAGTTGCTTGCGCACCTGGAAAAGTGGCAATCCAAGAAGATCCTCCTGGCCACCTGTCTGTAGCTTGGTCCAGTGTGGATCTGGGTGATTACTATGTGGCCTTTGTGAAGAGTGATGATGGCTTGGAAGTACATTGCAACACTTCCCTCACCCAGTGCAATTTCTTATCTGAGTGTGGCTTCACTTACTTTATTAGTGTTTTTGCCTATAACAAGGCAGGGCAGAGTCCTTTGGGTGATGTGTTTAATTATACCACAGGTGAGTTCTGCTTGATGCTTGTAAAGGGAGTTCTGAGTTCACTAAACTCAGTAGCAGAATGGACCACCCATTGCGCTCCTTGACTTAGACTACTTGGGAGTCATGCTTGGTGCAAGAATGGAAAGTGAATCTCTTCTTTCACATTCTTTCCTGGGGAATTTGGACTAAGTGGACTCAACCTTAACAAGAATACAAGGTTTAGGAGTGAGCAGAAAGGAAAGATTGTTGCTATTCAAGCTTGCTCTGAAAAATTGAACCCTCCATCCAGATCTACTCATTGTTCATCCCTGTTCTGGATCCTGAAGGGGAGGCAATCCTTAGGTCTCAGAGTTCACTCTTTCTCCAAGCCCAGAAGACAGAGGTGCAATGGCAAGGATGCCACATGGTGTAGAGAGTTCTGGAGTAGGACACCTGGGCTTAAGTCCTAACTTGACCACTAACTCATTTGTAAAGTGGAAATAATGATGTCTACCTTCTTAAGTCCCTTAGTATCCACCACTGCAAAATGGGACAAATAATCAGGAGTACATGAATATGAAAGGGTCTTTGTGTGTGAGAAAAGCACAGTGCAAATATTTTTATTAGCAGCTTTATTGCTGTTACTATTATTCTCCTACACTAGACTTGGGCCTTCTACAGGGCGGGGATTATATCTCATTCATCTTTTCATCCTGAATGCTGATCATAGTGTGACTGGCATATGGGAAATGCTCGATTTTTAAAGAATGGAGTGAGAGGCTCAAAACTAACTATATGTACAAATAAGAATACAATAATACAACTATATAAATAACAATACTAGCTGGATTACATATATTTTTATCAGGATGAGGGAATCAAATAATTAATTGGTGCCTTTGGAATTTGGAGTCAGAGGCCATCAATAAGTTCTTAAGGGCCTTCCAGAAGGAGTGGTTTTGAACTGGATCTTTAAGGATGAAAGGAATGTCGGTGGAGCAAGAGCATTCCAGAGAAACCCCATATGAGTTGGGCATTTGTCACAATTTGTCCATGAGGTAATGTAGGGCTCGTCTAAAATGTACTAATGCAATGCTTCCTCCTCTCCTCCACCCCTTAGTTTTATCTAGTTTAGTGTCTGGAAAGACTGATAGGATCTAGAAGTTAGACTAAAAATGATTTTGTCAGGCAGGAGAAGGGTCCCACATTCCAGTAGAAGGGACCCAGTCTCTCAAACATAGGGAAAAAACATGCACGTTGGGTGGGGAACTAAGGAGTCAGGTGAGGCAGGGGGTGTGGGGAGCAGCTGGATGTGTCGATAGGGTAGAGCTTATTATAACCTTGACTGTCATGCAGAGAGAAGTTATCCTCTATGTGGTGGGTGTCAGGCCAGGGTCACAGTTGGACAGACCTGTCGGAGATTCTTACAGTGACTTCAGAGGCTCCTGGGCACGGAGCCGCCGGGACTCAGTGCCCCTCTGACAGCCCGGCTCCTGTACTGACGCCCTTCTCTCTACTCCTGCTTCCAGCTCCCTGTTGTCCTAGTGACATTAACCCCGTGCTGGTGTCCAGTGACAGGGTAGAGATTGTCTGGTCTCCCGTCCGAGGTGCCGAACTTTATGGAACAAGGGCTGTGGATGGCTTCAGTGTGGTTGAGTGTAACGACACTGCTCCGGCTTGCACGCTTTCTGCTCTAGAGTGTGACACCAAGTATAACATCACGGTGTATTCCTTCAGTGAAGTCCGGGGCAGCAATACGTCATGTACTGCCCAATTCATAACCACAGGTATGGTACAGCAAGGATTCTGTTCACCGATGTCTGGATGGCTCCCCCTATGTCCCTCAGGAAAGGCATTCAGCAAGTTGGTAAAGTGGTTAACTGCCACTAATGGCTCTTGGGAGGGACCCTGAGAGCCCCTCTTGCTAAGGAGAGGCAGAAGAGAAGGTGGAAGAGGGAAAGAGGACAGCAAGGAACAGGAAACCCTGGGGAGAGTGGAAGGCTCGGCTGGTGATTACCTCAGCCATTCACATCCTCCCAGCTTTGGGGCACCTGCCTATCGTCACACCATGAAGCTGCAAATGTTTGTCTTAATTACTTTTGCTTTTGGAGTTTAAATGGCTCCTTAACATTTTCCAGTTAGCCTAATGCTATGGGAATCTAATACCATCTGTCAATGTCAGCAAGGTTTCCACACAAAGGCTCTAGGAATATGGCCTGAGCACAAGGTATGGTTGAAAGTAATCATCTCATTTAGGGGAGAAAACAGGTTTTAGACTAAATGTCACATGTGATATTTCTTGACTCTGTTTCAGTTCATAATCTAAAATCTCTTAGCTCCTTGCAGTCCTGAAATCAAAAGCATTTCAAAGGATGACTTTTCCATGGTTCATGTGCGCTGGCAATCCACTAATGATGAGGCCACTTACACGGTGACTGCCCGGGGAGAGAAAGGGTTGCACCAGTGCAGCAGCACCGGAGAGTCCTGCACCCTGGGGGGCTTGCCCTGCGGCTCCCTGTTCTCTGTCACCGCCGTGGCCGAGACGCCCGCGGGACGGAGCCTGCCCAGCTACACTGTGCCTCTGGAGACGGGTACGTGCTGCGTACAGTGGGATGCAGTGCGCCACCAGTCAGCCAGAGAAAGGAGTGAAACTGGGTCATTCGCAGACGCAGGGATGGACCTGGAGGGTTCATAAGGAGTGAAGTCAGAAAGAGGAAATAAATATTATATAGTATCATTTAAATGAGGAGTCTAGAAAAATGGTATAGATGATCTTATTTGCAAAGCTGCGACAGAGACACAGACGTAGAGAAAAAATGTATGGATACCAAGGGGGAAAGGGGATATGAGTGTGAGGAATTGGGAGACCGGGATTGATATATATATATATATATACATGTATGTGTGTGTATATATATATATATACTACTGATACTAAGAATAAAATAGACAACTAATGAGAACCTACTGTGTAGCTCAGGGAACTCTACTTAATGCACTGTGGGGACCTGGATGGGAAGGAAGTCCAGAACGGAGGGGGTGTATGTACATGTACGGCTGATTCACTTTGCTTTACAGTAGAAACTAACATAACATTGTAAGACAACTATACTCCAATAAAAATTAACTAAAAAAAAGAAAGAAATGGGTATGTAGCAACTGCAACTTGAACCTTAGCCCCAGTGAGGTCCTTAGGAATGGTTTTAGGACATGAACTTTATCACTTGATTTACCCTAGGTGTCATAGAAATACATTCATCTCAGAGAAGCCTTTCAAAGAGCCCCAGTCTTAGAAAACTTTCAACACAGGTTCTATATAAATATCATCTGAAGGCTCTAATATATTCATACACCAACATCAAAGGAGGAATCCACTGACTCTGGAGAAACATTTCTTTGACTTCATATTCCCCCATGACACAATCTACCAAAGCATCTAACAAGTGACCAAATGAGCTGGCTTATTATTTATTTCTTTAGTTCAGCCCTTTCAAATCTTTCTCTAAAAAAGGCTTTCTGAGTTTCAGTTTCCTAATTGGTAGAAGAGGATAATGGTTTCATTGGGTGCTTGTGAATATTACATTTTTTATGCTGCAAAGCACTTAGCATAGTGCCTGCTCCACAGTAGGAGCTTGATAAAAGAAAGCTGTTATTACTTGATAACATTGTGAATGAATGAAATACAGCAAATTACTTAAAGCCTTTGGGTCTTATTTTCTCTTATATATAATGATAGATGGCACTTTGGACCAGATAAGTTGAAACATAAAAGGCAGCAGAATAGAGACAATGCCAAATATGCAGGAAGGTTTCAGATATCCTATATGCTGTATAATGGATCTTTGAAGAGTTGAGAACTGTTTGTGGTACTCTTAGGTGGCTAAGAATATTTTAAGCTTTTATATAAGTTTAAAGCTTTTATATTATTATAAGCTTTTATATCAACTATGATATGTTTTATATCAAAATGCAAAAAGGCAAAATGTTGTCTGAGGAGGCCTTACAAATAGCTGAGAAAAGAAGAGAAGTGAAAGGCAAAGGAGAAAAGGAAAGATATACCCATTTAACTGCAGAGTTCCAAAGAATAGCAAGGAGAGATAAGAAAGACTTCCTCAGTGATCAATGCAAGGAAAGAGAGAAAAACAACAGAATAGGAAAGACCAGAGATCTCTTCAAGAAAATTAGAGATACCAAGGGAACATTTCATGCAAAGATGGGCACAATAAAGGACAGAAATGGTATGGACCTAACAGAAGTAGAAGATATTAAGAAGAGGTGGCAAGAGTACACAGAACTATACAAGAAAGATCTTCAAGACCCAGATAACCACAATCATGTGATCATTCACCTAGAGCCAGATATCCTGCAATCTGAGGTCAAATGAGCCCTAGGAAGCATCACTACGAACAAAGCGAGTGGAGGTGATGGAATTACAGATGCTCATGATGATGCTGTGAAAGTGCTGCACTCAATATGCCAGCAAATTTGGAAATCTCAGCAGTGGCCATGGGACTGGGAAAGGTCAGTTTTCATTCCAATCCCAAAGAAAGGAAATGCCAAAGAATGTTCAAACTACCACACAATTGCACTCATCTCACATGCTAGCAAAATAATGCTCAAAATTCTCCAAGCCAGGCTTTAACAGTACGTGAACTGAGAACTTCCTGATGTTCAAGCTGGATTTAGAAAAGGCAGAGGAACCAGAGATCAAATTGCCAACATCCGTTGGATCATCGAAAAAATGAGAGAGTTACAGAAAAACATCTATTTCTGCTTTATTGACTATGCTAAAGCCTTTGACTGTGTGGATCACAACAAACTGGAAAATTCTTCAAGAGATAGGAAATACCAGACTACCTGACCTGCTTCCTGAGATATCTGTATGCGGGTCAAGAAGCAACAGTTAGAAACGGACATGGAACAACAGACTGGGTTCCAAATTGGAAAAGGAAAAGGAGTACATCAAGGCTGTATTTTGTCATTCTGCTTACTTAGCTTATATGCGGAGTACATCATGAGAACTGCTGGACTGGATGAAGCACAATGTGGAATCAAGATTCCTGGGAGAAATATCAATTTACCTTATATACGCAAATGACACTACCCTTATGGCAGAAAGTGAAGAACTAAAGAGCCTCTTGATGGAAGTGAAAGAGGAGAGTGAAAAAGTTGGCTTAAAACTCAATATTCAGAAAACTAAGATCATGGCATCCGGTCCCATCACTTCATGGCAAATAGATGGGGAAACAGTGGAAACAATGGCAGACTTTATTTTCTTGGGCTCCAAAATCACTGCAGATGGTGACTGCAGGCATGAAATTAAAAGACTCTTGTTCCTTGGAAGAAAAGCTATGACTAACCTAGATAGCATATTAAAAAGCAGAGACATTACTTTGCTGACAAAGGTCCGTCTAGTCAAAGCTATGGTTTTTCCAGTAGTCATGTATGGATGTGAGAGTTGGACTATAAAGAAAGCTGAGCGCCGAAGAATTGATGCTTTTGTACTGTGATGTTGGAGAATTTGGGAGTCCCTTGGACTGTCAGAAAATCAAACCAGTCAATCCTAAAGGAAATCAGTCCTGAATATTCATTGGAAGGACTGACGCTGAAGCTGAAACTGCAATACTTTGGCCACCTGATTCGAAGAACTGATTCATTGGAAAAGACCCTAATGCTGGGAAAGATTGAGGGCAGGAGGAGAAGGAGACAACAGAGGATGAGATGGTCGGATGGCATCACCGATTCGATGGACATGAGTTTGAGCAAGGTCCAGGAGTTAGTGATGGACAGGGAGGCCTGGCGTGCTGCAGTCCATGGGTATGACTGAGTGACTGAACTGACTGATCAACTATGTACTATGAAATGCATGAGAAAGGCAAAACACATTTTATTGCAAATGTGATCATACATATTAAGAGAAGAGGTAAATGCAACCATTGCATTGAAATTTGCAACTGGAATCATTAAAGCTGAAGAACAACAAAGAATTTCTTTCTTATACTGAAAAAAGTTGGGGAGAACCTCACATTAATTACCCACAACCAGTTAGTGAACTTCATTCTTGGAGAAAGCACTTGCTATATACAATGATGGTAAATAATGTATCAGAGAGAATGAGATTTTGCTTAACAAAAGGACATTTTTTAAGTTTTAAAAAAAATTTTATTGCAGTATAGTTGATGTTCAATGTCATATAAGTCACAATACAGTGATTCACAATTTTTAAGTTATGTTCCATTTATAGTTATTAAGGATATTTTAATTAACAGTTAAAGGTTTGAGAAATCTAGGATACTGACTGAAACAGACAGAATACCATGTTTGGTTGTTTTTCACATATAACCCTTAGTGGAACTAAATTCCCAACGTTTTCTTTTTCCACATTTGAGCACCGTGCTGCTCAGCCAGTCTGATGGTAACTCAGGTCGCTCAATCAGTAATCAACGTGAGCTGGACTGTTGGGAGTGGAGCCCTAACCTATGTGACAGTTCTGCAGTCACAATCGGGACAGTCAAAGTGTCACACCCATCAGAACCACTGCCTCCTGGGATGCATCGCATGCGGCATCAATTACACAGTGGCAGTAAAAGCAGTTAGTGCCACTGGATTGACTGCGGACTGCGCCTACCAAAGTTATTCCTCTAGTAAGTGAAATTTAGACTCTAGTTCTAGAGTATCAACAGGGACCTTGACTATTATAGATCCAGACATAGCCCTTCCATCTCATTTAAAAGCATGCTGCCTCTCCACCAAGCTTGCATGGTAAATTCAGATTACTTTCTAAAATGTTTGCAATTTTCCTCTTGATTCAGAACTTCAAAGTTTCAGAGGCTTCTGTTGGTGCATGCTGAGTCGCTTCAGTTGTACCCAACCCTTTGCGACCCCCTGGACTGTAGCTTGCCAGGTTTCTCTGTCCATGGCACTGTGGCCCTCTTTCCATGGGATTCTCCAGGCAATAATACTGGAGTGGGTTGCCATTTCCTCCGGGGATCTTCCCAACCCAGGGATCAAATCTGTGTCTCTTGTCTCCTGCATCTTTACCACTAGCTCCACCTGGGAAACCCTGTTGGTAGTTGGTGAATGAACTCCCTGATAACAAGGTTCAAGTGTACTTTCTCTCAAAGAAGGTCTGGTTTTTATATGCCCTAGTTACTTGCAGTGCAGAATAACTCAGTTTGGTAGAGTTTTCAGAAAGCATTTAGATCATATATTCTATTTGGCTTGAATTTTTTGTTTCTCAATATTATTGTGCTACTACCTCTCTCTTCTAAACCACTCCAGCTTCTTCTATGGTATCTTATTTTAACAGGCTTCAAGAGAAAGTATTGCATTTTGTTCTTCACAAAGACCAAACAATTAGGGAATGGCGGGGGAAGTAAGGAGTGGCACAGGGTTAGCAAATAAGATTTCACTGGTATGATTCTAGCCCACTACAGTGGCTGTTTAGAGCACTAGATGTTTGTTGTAGTTTTTTTTTAGTTGTATCCAATTCTTTGCGACCCTATGGACTGTAGCCCGCCAGGCTCCTCTGTCCATGGAATTCACCAGGCAAGAATACTGGAAGGGTAACCATTCCCTTTTCCAGGGGATTGTCCCAACCCAGAGATTGAATCCAGGTCTTCTGCATTGCAGGCAGATTGTTTACTATCTGAGCTACCAGGGAAGCCCAGAACACATATGTAATCTGCTTTATAATTTCTTTAATTAGACTTGCTGCCTAAATTTTCACCTTGATATCTAGTTCTGGAAATATGGTCTACTGCTTACCTTCACATCTAAAAAACCTTTTTTAAAAGAATGAATCAAAGGGACCTAATTATCTGTAATTGATTTTTTAACTTATTATGCAATAACATCTTCATTTTGTGTACTGAGGAATCCACCATTTGACCCTAATGTGTGGCCTGCTCAAGGTATTCAGTAAAGGAAAAAGGGAAAGTACCCAGTCAGCTAGCACAGATGAAGTGTGGACCAGCAACAAGGATCATGTTACTCAGCTCAGCAAAATTTAGGTCTTTTCAACTAAAGCTGAATGCAGTTAATTATATCTAAATTGAATCCCACTAAAATCATTATGGGCTTTCCCAGTGGCTCCGTTGTAAAGAATCTGCCTGCAATGAGAGAGACTTGCAGGAGACACAGGTTCAGTCCCCAGGTTGAGAAGATCCCCTGGAGTAGGAAATGGCAACCCACTCCAGTATTCTTGCTTGGAAGATCTCATGGACAGATGAGCCTGGTGGGCTACAGTCCATGGGGTTGCAAAGAGTCAAACATGACTTAGTGACTAAACAACAACAACAAAAATCATATGGGTACTATGGGTAGGATGTCATGAAGGATCTTGACAAGGATTCTGTGTATTTGACTCATAAAGTTTGAGTCATATGCCCTTCGTATCTGCCAAGAACTTGGACTCACCATTGTTCTCTCTTGAAAACTCACGCCCCACCTCACCCTTACACATGGATCTCTCATCACGTGGCCCAGTACAGAAGGAACTTGGTACCCCCTCAAATCTTGCTCTAATCAGTTGTTATTTAGAGTAGGACACTTAGAGTGTTTCCCATAGTAACAGAGGCTAGGTTTGTGGTGATGATGAAATAGTGATGTGTTTGTTTTATCCTTCAGGTGCCTGCTGCCCTTTGGGGGTGAAATTATACAGGCTGGGCCCTAATGGCATCCGGATCCACTGGCAGGCCTCCAGGGGCTCTGCCAATTACAGCACCGACCTCTATGGTTCCAAAGGCATTTTCACATGTGCCCCAAGCGCTGGCCTCAGTTTCTGTGATGTTACGGAGATACCCTGCGGGGATGTGTATACCGTGATGGTCTCACCAGTTGCTGAGACAGGACTGAAGCTTACTTTCTGTCCAAAAAAAATATATTCAGGTAGAGAAAGTTATGACCTTTTATTTAAAACTAACCCTTGACTCAATCTGTGAATGAAGGCTAAGAGTAATCACACTTTGCTATGTAGGAAGATCAAAAAGGGCATGACATTTCTACATCCTATAGGCAGATTCTGGCAACAGGGGACCCCAAGCTCCTTTGGAATTGCAATGCTTTATTATAATTTGATTTGGAGGTACTCCTTTCATCACTGTCCCTCTCTTCAGAAAAAGGACCAGATGCTTGCTTAAACAGTAAAACAGATTTAAAACAATTTTCTGCTTGAGATTTGAAGATAGGTTTTTACCATGGTTAGAGGTAATGACAGACAACATGGAATATTTGAAATTAAGAGACTTGAAACTTTATTTGCACAGATTCAGACTTATGATTGAGGGAGAGTTGGAGGATCAGAGAAAAACAAATTTATAAATCATAAGCTAGGTTTGGAAATATGAGTGGGCAGACAGTCTGTGATCAAAAAACATGACTGTCAGCAACTGCCATTTCACCAGAGCTGACAGAAAAAGATGAGCAATTCTCCTGCTCTGTATTCCACCACCTTCTGTTATCTTGCCCAGGGCATTGCCATATTTTTTTCATGTATTTATAAAATAAAGAGATGGTGAGGTCCTATAACTCTGCAGGGGAATGCAGGAAGAGCAATAAATGTTGGCTTAGAAAGCTTTACTAGTAACCAGAATCTAAAATTTCCAGTTATGTGTAGGTGACAAGAAGGTTCAAGACAGCTCCTGGTGATGGAACAAGGCCAGTTCCTCTTCAGGGGGTGTTCTCACTATCCTTGGCTGTCATGCTCTGATTCCTTGCTTTTTCATTATCTTGTCCAGAGGACAAGCTGGCCCAAACACATGGCCCTATGAGAAGGGACAGGAGTAGGTTGCTGGGTTGAAGATGAGCTCTGAGGAAGCAGAGCCAACAGGTCAATAATGATACTTCATTGTGTTTGCATAATGCTTCAAAATTTATCAAGTGTTTTCACATTCAATATTTCACTGAATGCTCAAAATAACTCTATAAGGTAAGTTCAACAGTTTTATTTTCTTCAATTTATAAGTGAGAAAACTGAGATTCAAAGGCTCCCAAATCTCTACCTATAACCCTTCTCTTCTTCTGATCGCTAAATCCATATTCAAACATGTTACCTCTACTTAGAGATACACCCTAGGCATTTCAATTCTTTAAGATAAGACCAAAAGGAATTTCTGGTCCCATGCAGTTTCTGATCTCCCATCATCCTTGTTTCAGGTATTCATGCCTGAAAACCCTGGAGTCAGCTTCCCCCCTCCCTCACCTCCCATATCTAAGTAGTCTCCAAGCTCTGTTCTTTTCACTCCATGATGATTTCTAAATCTAACTTCTTCTCTTCATTCCTATAGCTACTTCAGTACTTCAGGGTCTCACTACCTCTCCCTTATACTGTTACACCAGTCCTGTCCTCCTGCCCTCTTCCCAGTTTTCATACTATCGCTAGAGTTATTCCAGGACACGGACCCAATTGTCTATCTTTCATGCTACAAAATTCTCAGAAGTTTTCCATTGCTCCATAGGATAAAATACAGTCCTCTGAGCATGGCATTGAACATCCCTTAAAATCTGTCCCCCTTCTATCTTTCTATACCTGTACTAGCAGAAATTTAATGTAAGTCTGAAAATTTAAAATTTTCTAGTAGCCACATTAAAAAAGTAAAAAGAAATAGGCAAAATTAATTTGAATATGTTTTAGTTAATCCAATATGTCCACAATATTCTAATTTTCGACATGGAATCGATATAAAAATTTTGTATCTTTTCCATAGTAAGTCTTCAAAATCTTGTGTGTGTTTGTTTAACACAGCACATATCAGTTTAGACCTGCCACATTTGGAGTGCTCATAGCTACATGTGGTGAGCGGCTACTCTGTTGGACAATACAGTTCTCGGCTCATTCCCCAACATCCTTACTGAGAGGACTGTATTCTCTAGTCACATGGAGTCATTCACACCCCTCTGCCCTTACCACACACACATACCATACCACATCGTGCTTCTGGGCTAATGCTGCACTCCTCGCTTTGCCTGGAATTCTGCCCCGCCTAACCAGGGGAATTCTACCAACCCAAATTCCCCCTCCTCTGTGATGTCTTCTCCAGTTCTCATAGGCTGAGTTCATCTCTCTCTTTCCTTTATAACTCCACAGCACACATTATTGTCACCACACCATATTTCTGTGAGTTGAATGTCTGTAATTTTTGCTAAATGGTAATCTCTTAGACTCTCAGTACTTTGCATATAACTGTTACCATATATATATTTTAAGTTAAAAAACAAGAATGAATAAAAGAGTTCATGTGTTTCTCTATGATAATACAGCCAGTAAGTAAATGATTGAAGTCTTTGCTTCTTCTTCTAATTCATACTCACAATTTAACCTTTGAAGAGACATTTCCTCTGATGGTTTGTTAGTTGGAACTCTAATATCCTTTGGTGGGGTGCCATCTCAAGCCTATAGTCTTTGCCCTTTAGTAAGGGTTGGGTGTCCGGACTCAGGTTAGGGAATCTGTCTTTGCTCTGGCTCCTTGATAAAAACTATGCATTTGGGGGAAGTTTGTTTGTTTTGTTTTTTGGTGTTTCTTTCCCCAATATCAGTGATGCCTTAATCTTATAATTAGGATGATATTGTAAATGATAACAATGATTAATATTTATTGAGTGTTGTGTGCTAGCTACTATTCTAAGGGCTTCATGTGCATTAGCTTGACTGATCCTTATAACAACCCTATGAGTTTGGCATTCTTATTCTTGTCACCTAACAAAGTGAGGCACAGAAAAGTGAAATGACTTATCCAAGTTGACACTGTTAGCAGGTGTCTCCTCTTATTATACAAGCTGGTTCTTATTCATTCTTTGTTCACTTTCCTATTATTCTTTCTTAAACTGTATCTCAAATACAGCAATGGATCTGTTTTAAATGCTTGTGTTTTTATTTATTACAGTAACCTGCTCTGGAAGTACACTTGGAATGGGTAAGTCATTTTTCTCATGGATAAAATAGAAAGAAATTTTTTGTTGCTCTTTCAGTTCAGTTCAGTTCAGTTTGGTCCCTCAGTCATGTCTGACTCTTTGCAACCGCATGGACTACAGCATGCCAGGCTTCCATGTTCATGAACAACTCCCAGAGCTTACTCAAACTCATGTCCATCAAGTCGGTGATGCCATCCAACCATCTCATCCTCTGTCGTCCCCTTCTCCTACATCCTTCAATCATTCCCAGCATCAGGGTCTTTTCAAATGAGTCAGTTCTTCGCATCAGATGGCCAAAGTATTGCAGTTTCAGCTTCAGCATCAGTCCTTCCAATGAATATTCAGGACTGACTTCCTTTACGATGGACTAGGTGGATCTCCTTGCTGTCCAAGGGACTCTCGAGAGTCTTCTCCAACACCACAGTACAAAAGCATCAATTCTTCAGTGCTCAGCTTTCTTTATAGTCCAACTCTCACTCCATACATGACTACTGGAAAAACCATAGCTTTGACTAGATGGACCTTTGTCAGCAAAGTAATGTCTCTGCTTTTTAATATGCGGTCTGGGTTGGCCATAGCTTTTCTTCCAAGGAGCAAGGGTCTTAATTTCATGCCTGCAGTCACCATCTGCAGTGATTTTGGAGCCCAAGAAAATAAAGTCTGCCATTGTTTCCATTGTTTCCCCATCTATTTGCTATGAAGTGATGGGACCAGATGCCATGATCTTAAGTTTTCTGAATGTTGAATTTTAAGCCAAAATTTTCACTCTCCTTTTTCACTTCCATCAAGAGGCTTTTTAGTTATTCTTCACTTTCTACCATAAGTGTGGTGTCATCTGCATCTCTGAGGTTATTGGTATTNCTTCCTAAGGCCGACTTGACTTTGCATTCCAGAATGTCTGGCTCTAGGTGAGCGATCACACCATCATGATTATCTGGGTCATGAAGATCTTTTTTGTATAGTTCTTCTGTGTATTCTTGCCATCTCTTCTTAATATCTTCTGCTTCTGTTAGGTCCATACCATTTCTGTCCTTTATTGTGCCCATCATTGCATGAAATATTCCATTGGTATCTCTAATTTTCTTGGAGAGATCTCTAATCTTTCCCATTCTATTGTTTTCCTCTGTTTCCTTGCATTGATCACTGCCGAAGTCTTTCTTCTCTCTCTTTGCTGTTCTTTGGAACTCTGCATTTAAATGGGTACATCTTTCCTTTTCTCCTTTGCCTTTCACTTCTTTTCGCAGCTATTTGTAAGACCTCCTCAGACAACCATTTTGCATTTCTTTTTCTTGTAGATGTCTTGATCACTGCCTCCTGTACAATATCACAAACCTCTGTCCATAGTTCTTCTGGCATTCTATCAGATCTAATCTCTTGAATCTATTTGTCACTTCCACTGTATAATCAATCATAAGGGATTTGATTTAGATAATCAATGGTCTAGTGGTTTTCCCTACTTTCTTCAATTTAAGTCTGAATTTGTCAATCAGGAGTTCATGATCTGAGCCACAGTCAGCTCCCAGTCTTTTTTTACTGACTGTATAGAGCTTCTCCATCTTTGGTTGCAAAGAATATAATCAGTCCAGTATTGACCATCTGGAGATGTCCATGTGCAGAGTCTTCTTTTGTGTTGTTGCAAGAAGGTGTTTGCTATGACCAGTGTGTTCTCTTGGCAAAACTCTATTAGCCTTTGCCCTGCTTCATTCTGTACTCCAAGGCCAAATTTGCCTGTTAGTCCAGGTATTTCTTGACTTGCTACTTTTGCATTCCAGTCCCCTATAATGAAAAGGACATCTGTTTTAGGTGTTAGTTCTAGAAGGCCTTATAGGACTTCATAAAAACATTCAGCTTCTTCGGCATTAGTGGTTGGGGCTTAGACTTGGATTACTGTGGTATTGAATGGTTTGCCTCAGAAACGGACAGAAATCTTTGTTGTTTTTGAGACTGCACCCAAGTCTGCATTTCAGACTCTTTTGTTGACTATGATGGCTACTCCATTTCTTCTAAGGGATTCTTGCCCACAGTAGTAGATAGAATGGTCTTCTGGATTAATTTCACCCACTTCAGTCCATTTTAGTTCACAGATTCCTAAAATGTCGATGTTCACTCTTGCCATCACCTGTTTGATTACTTCCAATTTGCCTTGATTCATGGACCTAACATTCCAGGTTCCTATGCAATATTGCTCTTTACAGCATCAGACTTTACTTCCATCACCAGTCACATCCACAACTGGGTGCTGTTTTTGCTTTGGCTCCGTCTCTTCATTCTTCATTGTTGTTCTTTAGGGTGACTTAAGTCAGAATCAAAGCTGACTCTTCAATTAGAGAGGCAAATGCTTTCTTTCTGTGATTTAAGGGGTTCCTGCTCTCCTCTTGCATAGCTCTTTCTCCCCTCTTAGTTTGCTTCCCCTCAGATTCCGCAAGTGGAGAGGAACTCCACTGGATTCTGAAATTATTTCAGTCTTCCAGGGTCCCACAGGAAAATAAAAATATGCTTCAGAGAAGCAACTGATTCATGCTTCACTTGAGAGAGTGGTTCCCAGCCCTGCTGTACATTGAGTCACCCAGACAGCTTGAAAGTAATCGATCTGTTGTTGTCTTTCAGTCGGTAAGTTGTGTCTGACTCTTTGAGACCCCATGGACTGTAGCCCACCAGGCTCTCTGTCCATGGGATTTCCCAGGCAAGAATACTAGAGCGGGTAGCCATTGCCTTCTCCAGGATCTTCCTGGAGATCTCCTTGACCCAGGAATCAAACCTAGATCTCCTTCATTGCAGGAAGATTCTTTACCATCTGAGCCACCATGGAAAAGCTTCTTAGGTGATTCTAAGGTGAAGCCAAGGCTGAGAACTGCTGCTTTAGAGCAGAGCTTCTCAAAGCTTACTGTGCATGGAAATCACCTGGGGTCTTATTAAACCAGATTCTGATTTGGTAGGTGTAGCAAAGATCTAAGATTTTGCACTTCTAACAAGGTCCAGGTGATGCTGGTGACACTGATGCTGCTGGTCTGACCACACTTTTGGTAGTCGGGTGTTAGAATCTGTTAACAGCCTGCAGAGTCTTAAGATGTCTGCTTCCAGTTTGCATGGGTGGACAAGGCCAGCAGAGGTAAACGGGTGCTGAAAGGGCATCTGGAGTAAAGGTGACCCTCACTGCCACTCAGATATGCTCAGGACTGATCCCCTCTAGGCTATTCTGGGGGCCTCATGGGGGCTACTTTTGGCTTGGGGCTGTGGAGATGATCACAGAGCTGTGTGTGCTGACCNTTGGCTTGGGGCTGTGGAGATGATCACAGAGCTGTGTGTGCTGACCCAGTGAGTAGCATGTGGTGCTTCAGGAAGAATCTTTGCTACCATCTTCTAGGAGGATTGCTTGATGTGAGGCCTTGGGAATACCCCCAGGGAATATTATAAAACCTAAACTACAGACCGCACATGTAAACACACACAACACACACACAGAGACATGGCTGACTTCAGAGGATATAAGAGAAAATGAAGCCTTCCTACGAGCAAATCCCACTGGATAACCTTCCAGCCTGGGCCAGCTCCCTTCCAACACGTCCTTCCACCGGTAGGACACATGCTTCTCTTTGCTGCTGGTTCTGTTTCCTCTCCCAGTCCATTACTTCTCTGAGCACAGAAGACACATGTTTTCTAATTCTTGCCCCACCTGCTGTTGCTGTCTAGTCACTAAGTCGTGTCCAGCTCTTTGTGACCCCATGGACTGTAGCCCACCAGGCTCCCTTGTCCATGGGATCTCCTGGATAAGAATATTGGAGTGGATTGCCCTTCCCTTCTCCAGGGGATCTTACTGACCCAGGGACTGAACCTGCATCTCCTGCATTGGCAGGAGGATTCTTTTCTGATGAGGAACCGGGGGAGCCCCACGAGCAGTTCTGAAATAAGAATAATCCCTATTAATTTTTAAAGGGTTACTATTTCTAGTGATTACAGGGAAACAGACCTGGCTTATTGAAAATAAATTATGAGTAAAGTTCTAAATTATAATTACTTGAAAAAAACTCCCAAAGAACTAATGACCGTAAGCTCTGGTCTTCAGTAGACTGTACATGGACCAGGGTCTGCATTCTTGGACCCTCTTTCCAGTATTATGACGGTTTTGATTCAATATTTCTCCTGAGCCACAGAGGAGTAATAGAAGTATCTTGGGCATCCCTAGGAGGTGAAGAGTGATGTATTATATATTGGTCTTCCCTAAGATTTTGTTAAAGAGATGATACTTTAAAAAAAAAATGCTTGAAAACCATCACTCTTAGACCTTGCTATTTGAGATCACCAGAAACCTTGTTCAAAATGTAGTTTTAGGCCCCATGCAGAGTTACTAAATCCCCAGCTGATTCACATGCATATTCAAGTTTGCGGGTTACTGCTTAGGTAGTAGTGCTCAAACTGGTGTGTATCAAAATCTCTTGGAGAGCTAGCAAAGGATGTAGGGACCCATGCCTGCTGAAGTGGGCCCTTGTGTTTCTATCAGGTTCCCATGTGATTCTAACACTCTCCAAGTTTGAGAAGCACTGCTCTAGGTCACTGCTGTCCACTTCCTATGTCCCTCTGGGCTGGCCTTGATTATTACTTCTCCTTTCTTAGCGAGTTTCAGTCTTCAACCTGAAGAGATCTGACCTTTTCTTTAAGAGACTGTTGTAGAAATTCTGCAAGACTCTCAAAAATTATTATTTGGGTGTCTGTACATCATATAGAATTCACTGTATTAAGGGAGAAATTCTAAATTTCTGTCCAGTTTCAGCATTTCTCCTCTCTATACACAGGACTAGTCAGAGTAGGTCCCTAGCTGGCATGGGGCCTCTAGATATGCTAAGGGAAGCTTTGGGAATCTTGTTGGTCTAAGGTGTTTGGTCTTGCTTAACTCTTGGATTATCCTAAAGCTTTTCAACAGCATGAATGGGGTTTTTAAGAGACAGACCTGGGTCCAAATCCTGCCACTGTCCCTTTCCCTTAGGCAAGGTGCTTCAATTCTAAGTACAGGTTTCCTCATCTGAAAATTGGAACAAACTTACCATAAAATGTTATGAAGATTAAAGGAGATATAAATTGTTAGACCCAATGACAGGCTCAAAATAAGCTCAGTAAATAAAAGGCTTGGTGGTGGAGAGGAAAGTCCTTTGTCTTGGGTAAGTAGTCTGAGGCCCAAGAGACTCTTGGGGAGGATTCATTTCACAAAGCGGAAGAGAGAGCATCCTGGTTACTTAGAACCTGAAGATCAGTTTCTTCTTGCCCTTTGAATGGTTCAGTTTATCTTACTTTTCTGCTTACTTGCTGTGAAGTGCTGCAAAAATAGTATTTCAAACCGAAACGCTAATCTGAACCTCTGACATCTGAGGGCTTTTTAACTTAAGAAAATGTCTCCATACTAATGCATTTTGTGGCTTCCTCCCTTCCTTGCCTTTTCAGTGATTTACAGAGGGAAGAGAAATGTGGAATGACACAGTAAACCATGGATGAAAACAGAGACTTGACTAGTGAGTAATTTAAATTGAAATGTTATAATTCAAAGGCAAAGTGTTATTTTTTTCTTTGCTTTAAAAATTTCTTCTCATATCTTTTGCAGAGGTTCCTTAATTGTTAGTGTGATTAGAGCTGGAAAATGTCTATTAGAATACAAAACGCCTCTAGGATAGGACAAGCTCTTTTGGCCTTTAGAAGAACTGCTCTGACTCCACTTCCTGAGTTCCAGGTCAGGTGTGTCCTCAATGGCACAGGAGTTCAAGATCTGCTGCAGAGAAGACTCAGGGGAGAAATTAATCCAGAAAGTCTTGTGAAAGGCTGCCAGAGTGAGCCAGCGCACTGGAAAAGTCCTGAAGATGTGAAAGGTCTGCGTAGAAGAAATTCTTGGAGATTTCTTACACCCAGACATAGTAGAGACTACAACACACCCACTTCATAAGTGTTTCAGCGACCCAGCACTTGCCATGCAGCTCTCTAGCCATTCAAGAGTTGGAAGCGTCCATTCCCAAAGAAGTCAAAATCAAGCCACCACACGTTGACTGCACTCATCCAAAACAAAACTCAACAAGGACTTTGGCTGAGGCTGGATAGCAGCAGCTGCCAGGGCCACCTGTAGGAAATAACACCCTCACCTAAAGTTAGAAGGAGGAAAAAAATTATAATAATAAAGTTAGGAGGAAGCCAAGCCATTTGCAGGCTTTTCCAAGTGAAAGAAAGCATCATGTGTTGACACCTCTGTGTGAGTATCTGGGAAAGCAGAGTTGCTAGCCTGTTACTGGAATGATTGTAGTCATGCTTTTGAATAAACAAAGACTTCAGATGGAGGGACAGTCAGGGCCAGAAACCCAAACTGTGGCAGACTGACATACATGCATCTTTGGAGGGAAGGACCATTGATCTTGTTGGCTCTATTCCTCACTCACACTGTAATTGCTCTTTTTTTGGAGAGAAAAGGCAATGATAAATCTGTTGTACCTAAAAAAATATTGTCCTTCGAGTGTCAGTAACCTTATTAAAAGATAGTGCAAGCTGGACTTGTGTAACACACGTAACTAAAGTGTTTGCTCCCCAGAAGCCTAGCTGTGGAACTAAGACTGTCTGTAGTTAGGAACAACCATAGAACTCTGCCCAGAGGGAATTGGAGCATGGAATTAGGCTTGAGGTACACTGGGAGGGAAAAGCAAACTTCCTTTTTTGTGTCTGCTTTCCCTTTCTGTGTGAGACTGAGATACAAATGTGCCACTGATGAGATAGTCAAGTGCATTTGCACTTGAAAAGATGGCAAGTCAAAGAACTTAGATTCCAGAAAAATAGAAATCGCTGAGTCAGACAGCACACACAGAAGAGGACCGAATTTAGTTCACTTTTGTTCCTAAATACCAGTAGATGAACAGGAGTCAGACTAGGTGCATTGACATCAGCTGGGGAACTCATTATTTAATACAGACTTCCTGGTACCATCCCCTGGAGATTCTAACTCAGCAGGTTGGGGACCAGACCTGGGAATCCATACTTTTAACAAACTCACCAAGTGTTTCTGCCTTGTGGCCAAGTTTGGGAACCTTAAAAGACTTGCATTGGCCCCATTCTTCCTTGAAGCAAAATTTCAGCAGTAGGAAGCTGAAACATGTTAAAAGATAAACTGAGGCATGTAAAACATTTTAAGAGTTTATTTGAGCAGACATTGATTTGAATTCAGCAGCACCAAAACCGAAATGATTCAGGAGTACTCTACTGACAGGAGCTGGGGGCAGGGGTTGGTGGGAGAGGGGAGACTTTTACTGAAAAGAGGTGGAAACTAAGCAAGGATGTTACTTGACTGGCTATAAAACCAATAGCTGTGTAGCTATAGTGGTTGTCTTATTTGGGAAATCCTAGTTGGCTATTTGTGATTACTTGTCCTTAGATTTTGATTTCTTAACATTGACACAGAAAGACTTAGGTTTTGGTTTGTTCACAAAGGTGGCTAAGGCATTAGAGCCACCTCAGTCTAATGGCCTTCTTGTTTAATTAACTTAACAGAAGCTAGAGGGCTGTGGCATGTGACGAAAGATTGGTGACGAGATCTGAAGGGTTCAGAGTGGGTCCGTGCCCTGTGAGGGGACCATGGATGAATTGGGGCAGTGTTCCGGGTTGTGGTTCAGAGCCCAGGACAGACTGTGTGCTGAGCCCAGTCTCTGGCAGTGTGTGCCCTCTGATAAGAGTTGTGTCCGTGACTGACTGGAACAGGCAAAGAGCCGAGGGCAAAAGCCAAATGGAAGGTCAGGATCCCTGGTCCCAGGACACTAGGGGGCTGCTGGGACCAGTACACTCATACCCTGTAAATACCAGAATACAGAAAAAATGAAATGGCTGTCTACTTAGCTAGGCATCTAAGTCTGGGCTGCTTTGGTCATAATTCCACAGAAGACAATGTGGTCCACATTGGGTGAACATAAAACCAAAACACGGATGTCGCACATACTACATGCTTTCAAGTGCTTTTCCTATACTCATCCTCATAACAACTTTCTGAGCTAAATGATAATATTCCTTTATGTATATATAACAAAAATGAGACCCAGAAAGGTCAAGGAATTCATCCAGGTTCTCATAGCTAACCAGTTGAAACACAGATTATCAGGGGGTCAAATAAGTATGTAGCATTGATCAGACCTTCTAATCTATGATATTTTTATGGAAAATGTTTCTCTGGGTTAACATGATTAATTGATAAATTATTAGAGAAGAAGACCTGGATATAGGAAGGTGAGTGAGTGATCTGCCTTAACTCAAGAGCTTTTACATTCAGTCTCAATTATTTCAACTGTGTATCTATCTGCTCTACAAATTGTGCAATACAGATTTTTCATCTCTGCTTAGTTGGTGGATTCTGTCTTCCACTCTGCTATATCCTGTTCAAGGAATTCAAATTTTTTGTTCAATCTGTTTAGGTAAACCAACTAGAGGAGACTAGAGAGACAGCTCAGAGAGGTTATGTGAAACTTAGGCAACGTAGCATGATGGAAAAGCCAGTGATTTGGGAGCCATCTTGAGGTTTTACATAATTTAATGTCTCCCTCTGAATCTCAGTTTTCACATCTGTAAAATTGCTATAAAGATGATCATTTTGTTGGGTTGTTGTGAGGTTTTAGATACTATACTCACCTTCAACATATAAATGCAACGACACTGAAGTGTTTCAAGTCATAGTGCTAATAAGAGGCCAATCCAGGGTTTGAGGACCCATGTCTACATGCTCCTAACGCCCACATTTGCTCCACTATACTACATTGCCACCTTGGAATCTGGCCTTCAGGAGCATGAATCACAGTTATACCCCATGTGACCCAAGTCAAACTTCCAACCCAGAAGGCCGTTTCTGTGTTACCCCTGGCACATGGTCATTCTTCTCAAGACACTTTCATTCAAATTTCCACTTCCCTATGTGACCAACTTGAATTAAGACCATTGGTTCTTTGCAAATCAGTGTGAGAAAGTCTGCTTTTTGCTAGTGTATATGATATTTATGTATTGAGAAGGAAATGGCAACCTACTCCAGTGTTCTTGCCTGGAGAATCCCAGGGACGGGGGAACCTGGTGGGCTGCCGTCTATGGGGTCGCACAGAGTCGGACACGACTGATGTTTATGTTACAGTTGAGGGTCCCAGAAACTAAACTGCTTTAATTCATGATTGATAACTTGTTTGTTGTTGGTCTCAGGGCTTGTGGGATTTTAGTCCCCCCCAGCATGAGTGACTGAACCCACCCACTCATCAGTGAAAGTGCTGGAATCCTAAGCACTGAACCTCCCCAGAATTCCCCTATGACTGATTACCTTGATTTCAAGTCTCAAAATAACCATCTCAAGAAACAGATCTCTGCCTAAACTTTCCCTAAGTCTGAGCTCAGATCATCTCCTTTGTGAATCAGCAATAATTTCCCTCTTTTAAATCTAAAGCACTGATAGTCCCTTCCACATGAATTAATGCTTGTTGACTAAGTATTGTTTTATTGGTTCATTTATGTATATTGTCAACATAATGGCATTCACTATTTCAACCAATATTTGCTGCCTTCAAGCATGCCAGGAACTGAGCTATCTAATTAGATTTTTAACTCTTCAGAAGTGGGTCTCTCCTTTCTTTGACTTGCCTGAAAGTCCTGCACAGTTCTGGGCACAGCGGGCTGCACCTCATGGTTCTACATAATTATTATGTCCTTGAGAAGTGAATAAACTTTTTTGGAGGCTAAATTTTCTATTCGGTAGCTGAGTGAAGTCTATTATAAATCCCTTCTCAAAGTGAAGAATTCTTTTGTAAACCAAAGAACCCCTCTCTTTTTCATGAATCGTAGGCGTGAATTCGAGTTTCTTAGGCGGTGTTAGCTCACAATCCGTTGGTACGATTTCAGTTTCTGACACCCCAGGACATCGAAATTCGGTTGAGAGCCTCCCGCTAGGGGGAGCGCAACTGGCCAAGGAGAATTCACCCACACTGCGCAGCCTCAGTCTGGGGTTGGGCGGGAATCCCATAAGAAGCCCGTGACGTCACTTGTGGGCGCGGTCCGTGGGTGTGGGCGGGGCCGTCCCCGCAGCGAAGGGCGGGGCCCGCCAGAAGTCGCTCTCACAGCTGAAACAGGCTGCGAGTGGGAGGCGGCCGCTGCTCCTCCACAGCGTCTGGGAAGATGGCGCCGCCGGTGACGGAAAGGGGGCTGAAGAGCGTCGTGTGGCAGAGTGAGTGCGGTGGGGCAGAGGCTGAGAAAGGGAAGGCCAGCATGCCGGGCCCTGCTTTCCTGCCCCAGACCAGCAGTATCTTGGAGAGCCGCGGTTGGCACTTGTTGCTTTGGCTCCCAGGTCCCTGTTAGGATTTCTTCCTGCTTTTCCTGTCAGGATTTCTTCCTGCTTTCCTTCCCAGCCCTTGTTCTGGCGGTGCCAGAGATGGGCGGGGAGCGGGAGGACGAGGCCTTCACGCCGGCGACCGGCAACGTCTGGGCTCTGCTCGGCCGGGCCCTGGTAGCGAAGTCCCGTCCTGGATGAAAGGCCCCCGGCCCAGCTTTTCCGCCCGGGGCCCCTGCGCGGTTCTGGGCGGCGCTCCCGCCTGGGCCCCACCAGTAGGCGATGTCTCTCCACCCGAGATAATCTGAGCACTTGTATTTCTTTATCCCGTCCCCCCGAGTCTCCCCACACTTGAGTTTCCGAAGACTGCGTATTCTGCTCATTCGTCTTAGTATCCGGGAGAGTTTTACAGCTGTACTTTACGATGCCTGTCCTTTTAAAAACACAGACCCTTATTTCTTTCTAGAAGAACCCACTTTCTCAAGAGTTCTTGAGAAGGGACCACGGGAATGAGTGTATCTCGGGGCAAAGTTGCACCTTCACCTCTTTCTTTACGCTCTTGGAGCCACTCTCTTCATCTAGGGCTTCACTACTTACTGGTGACTGATACTCTGCCATTCTGCCGTGTCTTCTACAACTTTCGTAAATATCACTCCAAACCTATGTCTGCCACCTTAGAGAGAGAATGAAACCGCCAGACAGGAAGAAACATCATTGTTTGGCCTTGCTGGGTTCAAAGTAATTATGGCCCAGTAGTGAAAAGGGGTATAACATCTAATTAGTATTTCTGGTTCTGGCTTGTTGAGCAAAGAACAGAAATAATGACTGAGTTAATAAAATTCTGGGGGTTATAGAGTTTCTTATTTAAAATTAAAACTCCAAATCGGTAGCTGTTGTATTCCTTAACATATCAGGTACTAGAAACAAGTGTATAAATAGAATGGGGGAAAAAAGTTACGACAGATTTTTCTTAATTGGAAAATTATAAGGTTTGAAGAAGGAAATGGCAACCCACTTCTGTATTCTTGCCTAGAGAATT